TTTAGAGTTGCTTGGGTGATTATTAGTAAATTGATTAGTGTTGGATAAAGATGAAGAGAAGATCAGTGTATTTGATTGTGATTTTAAAGAAATATCATAAGAATCATATAGGTAAAATATAGTGGTTAGAAAGTATTTCAGATTCATATAGTAGATATATATGTGCTTCTGTTTTATCACTATTAATTATAATAAGGATGTAGCTTGCAAGGTGCTTGGCATTGTTTTGTTTTAGATGTTGCAAAAAAGAATTAATAGTTTGTGATTTTCTTAATAAAAGAAGTTGATAGTAAGTAAGAAATTTGTTATAGCAAATATTTAAATTATAGGGGTTTAAAGATATTGGTAATAATTTGGAAGATTGTATCTCTTCTGTAAGGTCACTCACCATTTTAAGCTTGGTTCTCACAACTGTGCAGGTTTCCAAAATCTGCTCTGTATGTTGAATCTGACTAATAATTTGGTCCTCCACTTAAATAGACTTAACCACCCATCTATTTACATCATTCTCTTCTGAAGAGGGCCTACTGGAAGTGGAGGACATCTTTATCTCAGAAGTGGTGGCTGCATTAATGGTATTTACAGAAGAGATTATTGAAAAGAGCTGTATGAAGTAGTACATATAAATAAGTACTGGTTTTCAGACAGATTTATATCTGGAGGTGGGTTTTGAGATGATGAGTTGTTGGCATCTGATTCAGTTATTTGATCTTCTGGATTTAAATCAGTCATAATAATATCATCATCTGGGTTAGTTTTTGGATCTTGGTTTTCTGTCTTATTATTTAAAGGGGGTGTAGATATTTTTGGTTTAGTAGTTTTAGAAGAGTTAGAGTTATAGTTTGGAACCGGTTTTATTTTTATATGCTAAACCCAGTTTTAACCAGTTTTAATATATGAAAAATAAAACCAGTTCCAAACTCTAGTTAGAGTGAGTTGGTTTAAAAAAGTTGGGTTTGATTTGGGGTACTTTAAATTTAATTTTAAATTTGGAGTGTAGAATAGTTTCTGCTTCATGGTAAGCATGTTTATTGTAATATTTTCTCATATACTAGATGGATAGTTTGTTTCCTGTTTTAAGTAAATAAAAGTAAGTTAAGACATAAGCTAGAAAGTCTGTGCTGATAAGCTTAGATATTAATTTTGCAATAGCTTGGTGGGTTGGGAGGCTATTAATTTGGTCGTTTGAGGCTTCTGTATTTAAATAGGTATTGTAATAGCTATAAAAATAAAACCTTTCATGTGAAGTATCAGTTACTGTATTGTTAAGTTCTATATATTTTTTTCTGCTTTTTTAGCAAGTTCACATAGTAAAGGAGTTGGTGTAGATTTGTAGAAGATAGCTGGGTGATTATTGTTTTTGTCAAATATAGAGAAGTCTAAGGTGATTTGCATTGGTCTGATTTTGTGAGTTGATGAGTAAGTGGGAGCAGAGAAGCTATTAAAGAATTCAGTGAAGAAAGATATTGTGTTTTAGATCTTTGGATAGTATAGTACAATTTTTAACTACATATATGTATATGATATAATGTAGTTTTGAAATATAGCTGTGAATGTTTATGTAAAGAATCAATAGATGTTATAGAAAATTGGGCTGGAAGGAGTAATTTGCAGGTAAGTAATAGTTTAAGAGAGATTTGGTATTTAATATAGTTGTAGATTTTTTTTGTTTGACAATAGTGTAAACTGTCTTTTGTAAATGTTGAAGAATCCTTCAAACTATTCACCAAATTCTGGTAGATGTGATTTAAGAGAAGGAATCTGAAAAGTTTTTCAGAATTAACTTTTAGGGATATTAAGAGAAATATTGATATTAAATTTTCTGTCATATTGAACTTTAAAAAGAAGCTGATTCATAGTATCTTTACTAATATAGTAATAAAGTCTAAAGCAGATTGGGCATATATTAAGATCTTTATAGAATTTTTTAGCATTGATAGTTCTGTATTTGTTATGAAGTATGAGATGTAGTCAAGCTAAATTAATGGCAACATGGTCACGATTTGGAATAGTATAGAGTGAAACAGGGTTAAAAGAAGTTAAAACCTTAAAGTAGTTAAGTTGATTAAAAAGTGTAGTTGTGAATTTTTT